CTACCGGTCAGTCGTTTTCACAGACACATGTCCATCTGCACAGGAGTTGATGATGACCCAGCTAACAGCAGCTGAAGAAAAACAATGTTCCTGAAGAATTCGGCAGTTTCTGTTGTGTTTCCCTCCATTAGGACAGAGTCTTCCCAAAATCACATGGATTAAAGGTTAACCTACAAAATGCAAATCATCTTTCATATCCAACCAGAATCTTAAAAACAAAGCTTACAGGGTTGAATCTAAACCTAAAATAAGAATACACACTTTATTGAAATAGAGCAATAATCATGACTGTTTGTGAAATGACTTTGACTATACTTTGTACCACATTTTTCATTATATTGCCAATAATCAGTAAAAAGACATTTGGGGGGGAAAAAGAAAATAGCAACAGGCTAACTTTATGTTGTGCTCCTCCGGGGCCGACTGGAGACAGAGCAGATACACAAAAACAACCAGATGAGCTGATGTAGAGCCTTTCAAAACACTGTATAGATCTATAGATCAATGAGCATAAGAAAAAACACAAACGAAAAACAACACGTTACAAATAGCGAGGAATAGACAATAATGATGAGTATGCAATCTTAGACAGATTGTGAGAGTCATAGAAAAGAGTAGCAAAACGAGGAAAAGTGGTCAGTTTGTCCTCCAGTAGCCTAAGCCTGTCACAGCCAGGGAGAAGCTCTGCTGATCTCTGCTCATGGTTCAGGTCACGTCTGAGACTTTCTGTCTGTTCCTGCAGGTCTTGTCCTGGATCCACCCAGAGTCTCAGGCCGCTGTGGTGCGCTGCAGCCAGCCGCTAGTCGGCCCTCTGGACAGCCGCTGCAAGGAGGACGAGCGCTTCCTCCAGATCATCATGGACGCTAACGCGCAGTCCCACAAGCTCACCATCTTTGATTCCCGACAGACCAGTGAAGCCCTGTCCAGCAAGGTGCCACACACACACTAACACAGATGTGTTTTTTAAAATATGTTGCTTGATCTGCAATCAGATAACAATATACATTGTATAAAAAGACAAAGCTATTTTTTCTCACCAGCTGTGTTTTTTTCTAAATGTGCACAAATCTTTGTCTATATTCTGCTAGTGTTAAAAAAACCGCACAATTTCACAACTGCTGTGTTTCTATTTAATGAGAAATGACATTAAAAATCACATGTAAATAAGTTTGTTCATCCTTTAAATTATTAAAAATTATGGGAGTGACGGATGTAAACAGTTACATGATATATCCATAATTCAGCCATGGTGCTAAAGCTCATAGTCTGTCAGCCAATCAGAGGAGATGTTGGCGTTTTATTCAGGCATTGGAACAAGCCCCACCTACTTGCATGCTGCGTTTTAGGGAAACCACATAACCACAAAGAAGGCCACTTCCTGTCGTCTTCTTCGTGGCAGTAGTAACATCCTGCTGTTGATCACATGACTCGTGATGCAAAAACAGTGCAGTTAAGTGAAATACATCAACTATATGGCAGATAAACAACCTCATCCCAGCACAAAAAAATGTAAATATATTTCCTCTTTTAAAGAAAATAAACAATCCATAAAAAGTCTCAATTAATATTTTGTCATCGACTTGGTGTTGATGATCCTAAATTACCTAAAACAGGAACATGAATTAAAATTGATTGATTGAAAATTGATTTAAAAATGGCTGTGTTTTTATTTAGTCCATGTAAATATTAAATTTTTAATTTTTTCTGTCTCTTCTGATTTCCTCCATCTGTTCATCCAAACAACCTGAAGGCAAAAGACGGAGGATATGAAAATGAAAATTTCTATCCCAACATTGAGCTTATTTTCCTGGAAATTCCGAATATCCATGTGATCCGGGAGTCTCTCAGGAAGATGAGGGATGTGATTTATCCGACTATTGATGAGGCCCGCTGGCATTCGGCCATCGACCAGACTCACTGGCTGGACTATCTACGAGTAAGTCTCTTATAAATATTCACAAATATGAACGTGCTACAGTCTAAAAAACAACATAACCTTTTGTTTTATGCAATATGTTCCTGTATTGTATAAACAGGATATTGTAAATCCTGTATCTGTCCCTGTTGTTTGCAGCTGTTACTATCAGGAGCGGTGAAAATAGCCGACAAGGTGGAATCAGGGAAAACGTCGGTCGTGGTCCACTGCAGTGACGGCTGGGACAGAACGGCCCAGCTCACTTCCCTCTCAATGCTGATGCTGGACAGCTACTACCGGACGCTCCGAGGATTCCAGGTGACTCACTACAAGTCATTAATACGGTTTAAAGGGGCAGTGTCATGTAAAATGCTATTTCCTCATCAAAGACATATCTGGAGTGTTGCTTTGATTCTGTCATTCATGTTTGAGAAATTCTGTAATATCAGTGGCAACCGTTCAGCTGTGCAAAATGCCTGGGTGGACCTAGCTCCGCCTTCGAGGCACAGTTCCTCCTCTGAGCTGCAGTTTCCAGGCCTCACAGAGCAGCTCCTCCCCCATTCAGCTCCTTCAGACTAGCCAGCAGCAATTAGCAAAAACCTGGTGGAACTGCATGTCTGCTGAGCTCATTGTAGGAGCCACTTCTCAGTGAAACAACGGTAAAAACATTGTTAAAGGGTCAATAGAGGAGCCATGTTGTGATGACTTCCTGAAGGCGGATTTTCAGAAAGAGGAGGAGTTCTTTAAAGAGACAGGCCCAATTTTGAGGTGTTAAGTATTTTATATGACTTCAGCATTTTTATAACTGGAGGTAACATTCAAAACGCACTGCACTTACAACAAAACTCAGTTAACAGTGTATTGCATGTTTAAGTCCATAATATTTAGTTTGATGTTTTTTTTGTTTGTTCAGGTTCTGCTGGAAAAGGAGTGGATCAGCTTCGGACACAAGTTTGCTTCTGTGAGATTTGTTTAGCTTCATGAAACGTTTCTGCTGCGTATCTGTGTGCGTGTGTGTGTGTGTGTACTCACTGTCTCACTGTTCCACACAGCGCATTGGACACGGTGATGAGAGCCGTACTAACACAGAGCGCTCACCTCTGTTTGTTCAGTTTATTGACTGTGTTTGGCAGATGACCCGACAGGTGAGAGCGTTTTATGTTCAGTTTCAGAGCTTGAGACTGTAAATATGAAAGGCGTATCCACCGGTATGTGACACTTCTTCTCACAATCATTCTCCTCTCAATTTTTATCAGTTTCCTTCTGCCTTTGAATTTAATGAGCTGTTCCTCATCACCATCCTGGATCATCTCTACAGCTGCCTCTTTGGCACCTTCCTCTGCAACAGTGAGCAGGAGAAGACAGCCAAAGTGTGTGCATGATGTCATATATGTCAACATATTGTTTTTTTTTTATTATTGTTTTCCTTTGCTTTAATCTGTAGATTTTATTCTTATTGAACAAGAATACAATTTCATTATGAGACTTTTTTTTTCTTAAATTGTTTTTATTTCTCATCCAGGAGGTTCAAACCAAGACAGTGTCCCTGTGGTCCTACATCAACAGGTGAAAATCTGTCCGTCTGACTGCAGGTAGCTAATAACCAAACGTTTGACCTGCTGTGACCCTGATGTCGTCCTCCAGCCAGCCCAGTGAATTCACCAACCCGTTCTACCTGGTCTATGAGAACTGCGTTCTGTTTCCGCTGCTTTCCTCCAGACACCTGGAGCTGTGGACCAGCTACTACGCCCGCTGGAACCCACGCATGAGGCCACAGGTAGTGAGGCTGTTTGCTTTATTTTAACAGAAAATATTCATACAGTGGCTTTAAAAATCATATTTTAAAAAATTCATGTGGCTTTAAGCATGTTAATTCCATACATTTTGTTGTTATTTTTCAGATTCTGTCCCTTGTATTGGGATAATTAAAATGTTTTGCTCTGTGATGTTTCCCAGGTGCCAGTGCATCAGACACTGAAGGACTTGCTGTTCCTCAGAGCGGAGCTGCAGAGGAGGGTGGAGGAGCTGAACACACACCCGACACCTGAACACCCGAGCCCTTACACAGGGACCTCGCTTCACTCTGCTGTTTGAGACACTGACATGTCCTATCCAAAGTTTTGACCCAGTAAATCAAATACTAGGGACAACAATGTTTTCAGTCGAAGAAAATCTTTTTTTTCCCTCAAATAAAATGTGTAAAGTCAAATATCAGAAAGTCCTGAGTCTTTTGAGTAAAGCCAATTGGATCTAATATTTAGCATTAAAGGCTACCACAGAAAGTGTTGATATAAGAGTTAAAAGTCCAGCTCTATAATGATTGTATCAGTATTTACCACCAAATCACATAAAAAAAATCTGATATGATCTAAAATTATGTATAGAACATGTTTCATCCGACCATTTTTAAGGTCCATGTAAAAACATTTTCCATATTTAAGCCACAAACGTTTGACATTTCAATATTTTCTTATATTCCCTTTAGAGATTACAGTGGAAGCTGAGTCTCTTTATTAATTCTTTATTTTACTAGTTCATGTTGGAGACAACTGGAGTACATATAATAATAATTCAAGTTAAGTCAGTTAACTGGCACATCTTAAGCAGAGTTCAATATTGTGAAAAAGTCATGGTAAAAAAAAGCACACGTCCTTTAAATTCTAGGGTTTTAGTACTGAGATATGCGTTTTTTTAATTTAGAAAATTTGGTTTGGTTCCCCTAGGATTACCTTGAGTAATTGAAAACCTGGTAAAGTCCACATTATGTCAAAACCCTACAACCGACAAAGGATGTCTCTTTTGTTACAATGGCTAACAGTAAACACACAGAGAAAAACATGCAGCAGAGAGTACAAAGGAACAGTCTCAGTTAGATACAGCATTATAACAGCAGAAGTACAAAGCACACAAACAGATCTAACTACGGTTAAAATCTAACTCAAGCAGCAGCTTTTCACATTTCTGATCTGGACATAATGTTGACATTCAGAGAAGTGATACGTTTCAAATCATTTGATTTGCAGAAAGAAGCATTCATATCTAGAACAGGCACTGAAGAGGCATCACAAGTGAAGTGATTTTTTTATTTTGAGTAACAATTGGTCAAAGCAGTAAGTGAAGGTCACTAAGTGACATTTCCAGAATTAGAAATGAGTTGTGTGTGTGTTGACTTGAATCCAGGTGCGTGGAGCGAACAGAGGTCATCATGTGACCAGGAGTGACGGTCATATTATATCTTATAAAGAAAACATCTCATCCCATCTGGTCTGGGACTGTGGTAGTGCTGACATTTCCTAATATTCACATAACTGCAGTCAGAACAAAAATGTCTGAATCTCAAAGACAATAGTGTGTGAAGTAGTTTCAGATTTTAGTGTATAAGATAAAAGAGTAAACTCATATCTAAGCCTTTCTAAAACCTTTTCTTAATTCCTTCTGCACCACATTTTCAGATTAGAAGAGACGATTTTACAGCATGTCACAATATGTTCATATAATTGTAAATTGAGTTTAGGCCAGGATTCAAAACAAGGACCTTCTCTTGCTGCAAGGCAACATTGCTACCAACTACCCCTTCCAGCAAAGCCAGTAAATTCGTCACATTTTAGTAAAAACACTAGTCAGGTACACACTTCTAAACTTGCAAGAGAAATAAACAAAAGTAATTTAAATAAAGTAGTTTTGCAGTTTTAGCTACACGTGTCAGAATGTGAGATTAACAGGAAGAAATCATTTCCACCATCAAAAATTCTAAAACAAATGTTTCTGTACTCAGCGAGGCATGGCGCTGATCTGAGCTCTGAAGAAACTACAGAACCTGCTGGTCATTCACTGGTCAGCACTGAGACAAACTACAGACTCACTTTCTACAGACTACATTCCAAAATATGCATTTTTTCTAATGCAAACCTCATTAAAACACTAAATGGAATTCACACACACATGTGAGATGCTGATTTGAATTTGAGTGGTTCTACTTCTAACAACATGAAATGCTCAGTAGTATAAACAGGAGTTTATAGCTTAGAAAAGCGCCGTTACAAAGCCTATAACATGGAACATGGTACAAACTTGGAATTTGCTATGTCTATGTCTTAGTTCGCTACATGTGGATGAAAGGACAGCTGAAATGTGACTGACTCAGTGACTGACTGGCTCCTAAACTGCATTCTCATCACAAGGTGGTCCAGACTTTGGTTGTTCCAAAAGCGTCTGTTGTGCTGCAGAAAAAAAGTAAATCGAAAAAATGTTCTGTCATACACAAAACATAAATCCATAAAAGACAAAAACAAAAAACACAGACACCAATAAAGTGGTTTTAAAGTGGAGCAATCCTTAGAAACCTCCACAAAGTTTGATGCCATCAACCCTTCACGGATGACCATGAGTGACTTAACACTGAGCTAGGATATAAATTCATTGTAACTAGAGGGTCTGAGAAGCAGCCTGCAGCGCCACATTTTGACAATTTCTCGTAAAACTGAGGACACATAAAGGTTTTATTATACGTCTAACCCATAAATGCCAAATGTCTCCAGTTTGGTTGCAGGAACCCATCTGTAAACTTACATGTCTGTAACAAAGACATGCAACTCCAGTATACCTAATTTACACTGAATGTGGTTCTGCTCCGCTGTGTACTTCACTTCACTGTGCACCAGTCGTTACACACCCATTACAGACTCACTCACTGCAATGGGTGTGTATTTACTGCTGTGTACAGTTGGGAGTTAGTTTTTAAGAGTTCATTGTGAAGTGATTCACACAAACTACATTTTTCTTTGGCTATGTTGCTTGGACATTGCCAACAGACCCACCAGTGGATGCATACATTTGAGTGTGTGTATGAGGGTAGAATGATAATAACACATGCATGTAAAATGAGGTAGATGAAGTACCTTGAGGTTCAGTTGCCACCACTCCCTCTGGGATTTCAGCCTTATTAATGTCAACATTCAGGCTCTCTGTAAAAACAGAGATTCTTAGAAACACATTTGTTGTCATAACTGCCTACAAATAAAAACCAACAGCTTGGTGTGAAAACTTTAGATAAAAGAGGAAAGGTCATGATAGCTTGGCAGTATTTCAGATATTTAAGAGAAAAAAACTCAATAATTATCGATATCTAGTGATATGAAACACTCATATCGTGATACGTTTTGCAGCCATATCACCCAGCCCTAGTTTGAATGCTATTTGAATCCAAGCAATCCATACAAAATGTTTACTTATTAATTAATTTGACTTCTTGGTAGAATTTCTTTTTTAAATTGTTAAGCAATTAGTAACCTGATTTGTTTCAAATTTTTAATTAGTAAAAGCTGATTATTATAATTTCCTTTAGGAATTTACAGTTTCTACTTCATTGATTTTTTTTTTAACTTCTGAAAGACAGATGAACTCAAATTATATTCAGGTCAGTTACTTTTTTACATGGCTAAAGTATAAGCTCACAACTTTTTTAAGGCCTCTGCTTGGAGAAAATCACATTCTCCAAACAGAGGCTCAAGTTTGACACAGTAACTTACGATTCCAATGTGCTCACAGCTTATGATGACTTTAGTAAGGAACCTTACGTTGTAAACTGAAGCACAATTTCTTCTTCTGGTAGCTTATGTAGCTGGTGATGGCCCCCACCAGCGCCATGCCAACGGTACTGACAATTCCTGCAATGGTGCCGGCCTCTGCAGTGACCTCTGTGAACAAAACCGCACACACATGCAGAAAAAGGGATGAAGCTCTGCAAGCCATCCATTTTAGAACAAAAGGACCAGACAATAAAACCTCACCACTGTTTTCATCATGGGAACTCTGGCTGGTGTCTTCTTTTTTATAACCTCCTGAGGAAACAGAGGTCAAACAGAATCCTATTTAAAAAAAAAAGCATAACTATTAACTTTAGACTGATTTTCAGTAAAGGAAAAAAATCTGACCTTTTCCTTTGTCGGGTTTGTAGGTGTTATCGTTGCTCACACCCTCCAGATCACTGTCAGAAAATCCCCCTGAGAAAAAAACAACAACACTGAAGGTAAAGACTCACTGCACTCTTTGGAGGCAATAAATCTGATGGTTTACTGCATCAACTGTTCTGCTGTGACCTGTAGGGGATAGTGGCTGCCCCGTGGGCTCCAGCTCCTAACCCTGTTTCCAAACACCGTGAGTTCAGAGGAGGCGTCCATAATTTATACCATAATTTGAGCTGGTTCCTACAGGAACGGGGCTCCTCTGCAGATTTTAGTGGATTTTTTTTGTGAGTTTTGTAGTTTGGAATTGTCGCACATTTTCACAGCAGGTAAAAAGTTTGTGTAAATTTACGCCATGTTCACTTTTATACATGCCGACTTGTGTGTAAAATATGGTGAACGCATTTTCTCTACATGAGGCCCCTGAGTGTTTCTGTTGATGACAGGAGTCAGACTGGTGCTGAATATGTGATTAAACTGATTCAAGGATTATGCTAACACAAATATTTTGTGGGACTTACAGTTTGGGGGTTAAAACCCAAAACATGTTGACCTTCATAAGTGCGCCACCTACTGATCAAATTTGCCCCCCAAAAGTTAAGCCTAATCTTCACAATTTTGTATATGATCTAATAGTTTCCTGACAAAATCTGTTCAATTTCACAAAGGTCAAATGTGAGCCATATTTGATGCTGCAAGAGTCATCAAATGTACAAACATTGACATCTTAAATGCATGGTACTTAAATAACTAATTACTAACACTTACTGCATTTCAAGCTATTCTTCATGGTGTGGTGTATATACAGGAATATTGCAATAACTATAAATCTGCAAAATACTGCGCACTACTAGCTGACATCATGCAGACAGAACTGTAATAGAAATTAAAAATTGTTTAGTACATTACTGATTGACACGGTCTTTGTGTATCTTCTCTTTTTGTGGATCTTTGTCAAATCACTTGGGTTTAAAAATAATTTATAATCATCAATAATTATTTATAAATTCTACCTCCTGGCTTCTGGTTTTGATCCAAGGCATCTGCCAGATCAAAATCTTGTCCAGCTGTAAAGATTAAAAGAACAATTATAGACACCATCTGTTTTTACATTATATCACCAACAGGAAACCAAGACTCAGAGTATTTTTCATCTACTGGAACACTTATATTTATATCTGAAAGCTATTCATTTAATAATAATTTCTAAAAAGTTCTTTCTAGATCTAAAGTAGAAGCAACAAATTTGGTAGAGTTGTCTAACTCACTTGACTTGGGTTTGGTCTTCTTTGATGCTGTAGTGCTTGTAGGGAGCTTTGGCTTGACCTTTACTGGGACTTTGATGGTTGTAGTTCTTACTGTAGCTAACGACAAAACAAAAGAATGACACAGTAACTGGTAAATGACAGAGGATATTTGTCTTCAACTTCAGCACACTTTGACTTTGACTCCAGGTTTACCAATCCACCTGCACTTTGTGTCCATTTTCAGGGACTTCAACATGTTGGTTTAGACTCTCAGTCATCATCCAGGGTATGACAGTCTTAAGTGCTTCAGCTGAAGGCAACTGGGCTATTTTTGTTTCTTCGAGACCTCACATCCAAAGCAGTCCTTCAGTTCTGAACAGGGTTAGGAGTAAGGGCTTTATATGTCTGGTCAGAATAATCAAACTAATGGGACCATTAACATCACTAATGGGACAATGAGTCACTAGATCCATTCAACTCAATATTTGCTTGACAATCCAAATATGCCATGTGAATTGCATTGATCATGTATCTGTAGTATGAGTCAGAAAGATGAAATCTCTGGCTGTCTTCTATTTTTAATACAGATTTTTCATTTTTAACACAAGTTGGCTTTTTCAGACTTGCCCGTCATAAATGTTCCACACATTTATGTAGCTGCTCTGTAGTTTCTCCAGTGTAGAAGTCTAAACATTCAGTGCTTCACTGGACTGCTTGCACCATACGAATGAGCTTGTGTTTGGATATTTTGTGGAATCAATCTCTGTCTGGGAGTATTGTTGAGTTTAAAAATACACCAGAATATTATCCTCATCTCAGATGCTCCAGACACATGAGATGAAAATGTTCTTAGTTATTCTTTTCTTCTTTAAAGAACTGAATTATGTACAGTTGTGCTCATAAATTTACATACCCTAGTGGAATATGTTTTGGTCATTTGTTAGAGAATTTGAATGTCAAATATTATCAAACAATAAACCAGTTAATTATTTTTTTTAGATGCATCTATAAGGAGAAATTAGGTCAGTTTTGTTACTCCGACCACTAACAATAAGTGGAAACAAAGTTTTTGTGTTATTTATACTCTTTAGAAAATGGCAAAAAAAAAAAAAAATCTTCTAGGTTATATAAACTCATGAGCACAAATGTATGTTCCTGAAATCCCAGCTGCCTTAACAAAAGCCCAGGGAATCCTCAATTTGAATATGCTTGTCTAGCTTGTCTTTCTAATGACAAACGCTTTTAGTGTGTGATGATCAAATTGCTTCATTTTTCACTCCAGTGAGATTGTTCCAAATACAACTTATTACATTATAAGCTTGTTACTTTGAATCACTTCCAGAACTGACATAACCTTTTGAACGTGAAGAAACGGCACATCTTCAACACATTGATTCATCTTCTACACACCTGGGTCACATTTTATTTTAAATAAAGTAAGAAATATTTCTCGGAAGACCATACTCCATCCCAAAGTCAATATTTGACTTCTCTACTTAACTTAAAAATATGGCTGGCATTGTTCAGTGAATTTAAATGGCACATTTAAGGGAGTCCAGCAAAAGTCGTGCAATACATTTCTTACCTTGTTCTATTCCTCGAGTTGGTGCTTCTGGCTTTGGTTTAACAGAGGCTGCTGTTAGAATGAGAGGACAGGCTTCATACAGACTGTGGCTGTGTGTGACATAGCAGCTTTTTTTGGGACAGATAATGAGAACAGCTGAGCAGATGTTTTGCCTGCACAGAGTAACATAAAGGCTATCTGTCTTGTATCAACAAAATTACAAAAGTCAAACAGATCACAATTGGAACTATATCCACCATTTATCCAGAAATTTCCGTTTGGGATCACAGTAAAGTATATTTGAATTGAATTGACAAGACACTATCAGGAGCAGTAAATGAAATATTGTATATTGATTGTGCTGTAGTGCCCAAGCATAATTCTATGCAACCAAATCAAACTGACTGCATAAAACAAAAAAAAACATTTTTGATGTTTTTCTATAAAACATCTGAAGCAGGGGCTGGGGTCCTCGGATTAGCAGATTAGCCCATGAGGAAAAATGATCCATGGAGTTGGAAGAAAAGACCAAACATGGCCCTTTCTTCACTTTCATTTCATCCATTTTTTATTTTATTTCATTCACTTCCTACTAAAAATGAATAGTTAATGTAACAACTAAAAGAAATCATGAAAAAGAAAGCATGAACGCCACCCCCTAGTTACATAAAAATAAAATTCGCTATTCAACTCATACTATCACAAACATATTTTATATTTATACACAAAAAAAATACACCCAAAAAATAAATACACAAAACAGCAGCATATTCAATGCCATATCATCATAGCAACTTTTACATGTATTTAAAAATACAGAAAGAGATTTAGATTGCTCTATCTCACTGTCGAGATTATTCCATAAAAAGATGCAAGTTTTTGAAGAGTCTGAAGTTGAGTGATCAGGGAAAATGAGCACACGTTTCCCCTCATGTGCCTCTGATAGCATCTCATTCCGTACTTGAAACAGGTTGACACAGGCAACCAACGGGCTCTGGGGTCCCGTCTGTTGGCTTGACCTGCAGTGTACGATGGGTCCAGTTGAGGACTGGTTAGCACCAAGGCCAAGCAAATACTGAAGCACAGCGGATAAACTCTTCCAATCACTCCGATACACTCACCTGCTGCTTATTATTTACTCTGAAGTGATCTTCCAAGTCTTCACACTTCTTGGATAATGTGCCCAGTAAAACATCTAATGAGTTAACTGAGGCCTCCAGGGGAGCAAGCCTCCCGTCCTGATCATTAGGAGCATGCTCCAAATTATGGCACGAACTGGAACAAGGCAACTTGCACAGACGGGATGAAGGCCATAAGTCATGCTGGTCTGGCAGGTCAAGCAGAGGGGGATTGTGGACATCTTGCTCATTATTCATTCTTGTTGTCATAATCAGATGTTGTGGATTGCTGAAGAAAATTGGGAGCTGATTGTCTGGTTTCACCATAATTTGGACAGACTCAGATGGACATAATAGGTGCTGCCACCTGCTACATGGTGCTACACTTACACCTGATATGTAGGAGTATCAGGTATAGGTTCAGCCCACCTGCTATGTAGAACTGGCCCACATAGCAGATGGGCCAGTAGGTTTTCAGTTCTGCACTGCACACAAAGGGGATAACCCACTACTGATAGCCTTAAAGGGCAAAGCCTGCGCAAAATAGAACTACTTTACTGTAAAAAGCAAACAAAGATAATGCCAACATAAATCAAGTCTTACTTTACTAATTCATAAAAATAAATAAACATGGTCAAGAGTCTACTTACATGGCTTAACGCTCCCATCATCCAAAGCATCATTCAGATCGAAGTCGAACTGAGACAGAACTTCAGTACAGAGGACACGAAAGAGAAAAACAGAAATTACACGTCCACCTATGTTGTCCCAGATGACTCTTCACACTGAACAAGACTCTGCTCAGGGGAGGACATCCTTCATTTGAGGGGATGCTACAACTACAGGGAATAATGGTCTGATAAAGGGAATACCCTATAGTTCAATAAATGACAAAACTGAACCAATTACCAGGTTTTGTGAATATACATCACGATATTCACAACAAACATCAGCCACCAAATAGGACAAAATATTTCATGAAGCATTTAACAAACTATGACTCCTACCGCAACAACTATGTAAAATTAAATTAACTGTCCAATATAAAAAAAATTGAGTTTGGTGCTCTCTGGCGTCTTGCTTTGAGCTCTGAGTTTGTGAGGGGTTTTTTACTGACTTTTCCTCTATCAAACCTGTTGCTAACTATTTGCGTTTCCCATTTAGTGTAACTATCGATGTTGATGAGATTTTCTCCAAACTGACAACCTGACAACAGCAGAGCTCTGGAAAGCTCTGCTGTTGAAAACGAGGAGCTAACGTTCACAAATTACACTGAAATAGAAATCCAGTCCAACATCTGGTATGAGGCGACACACTCTGGAGTGTCGTTGGAGGAAAAATATCCCAACTTCAGAAGATGTGCTGAGGGGGGCTAATTGGTTCCTCCTATTTAGTTTGCATTCTCTCACATTTAGATCATTACACCAAATTTCAGATTGACCATAACTGATTGACACCTGCAACCAGCTCCTGCTGGTGAGAAAACTAGCAATCCTAACAGTGTCAGAAGTATATCACTTTCATATGTCTGCTATACCTGATGTGTATTCAATTCACATATAAAATAAGTCAATACTTTAATTAAAAAAAATATATATATATATATATATATATATATATATATATATATATATATATAAAAGATATACAATTTTATATCTTTGTGTCATTTCTCAGCCGAAAAGGAAAAGATGCTCTTGGTCTGTAAAAGGTCACACACCCCTACTTTATCCTCCTCAGGATGCCTCACCACGTCACTGCAAAGGGTCTGCATTGACTGCTAGTCTCCTCTGTCAGCAGCCTTCTCTTTATTTGCATAAACCGAAGGTTTAATGCCAAATTATTATAACCAATTAATAATTCATACAACCATGCAGTCAGATAGCCTATAAGTGTCGGGTCTATGGAAAAATGAAAACAATCATATGGACGATAGCAAGCGGAGCGTCTCATCCTCACGCGTTTCTGAGGCGCATAACTGTTCCTCGTGCGATCAACCTCACCAACCTGCTACGGCACAAAGAGGGCCGACGCCGCAGCTGCATTCAGATGTAACTGAGGGTTCTTACCTCCAAGCGGCAGCAGGAGCGCCAGGACACACAGAGTCCACACAGAGCGAAAGGTCAGCATGACTTGTGGACTAATTTCAGCTACGATAACGGTATTTTCTTCGCTTTAAAATAAAGCCAAATAGGCAGAAACCTTTGAGTGCCGCACTCAGTGACACACCCACATTGGGCCACTTCCTACTACCTTTCAAAATAAAAACCGAAGAATAATTGGTAATGCAAAACATACAGAAAATAGAGGAAAAAATGGTCGCCATAGTATGCTTTTGCAAACGCTTCTAAGGAAAGAGGGTGGTGAAAAGTTAAAAAGTTTTGCACTAGAAAGCATAAAAGGATAAATTCCTATGGAAGCCCGTTTCTGTCACTGTGGTAAAAAAAATTAAAAAAAATCCCATTGTATTGAGATACTCAGTACTACTGTGGCAGACAGGTGCAAATGCGCAGC